AGGATGTTATGCAATCCGGACCGGGAAAGCAGCTTATGGAATGTAGGTAAAATGATTATGTGGATTATCTGCCGAGGTTCAGAATGCTGTATGTAAGTGCCACAAGATTTGCCAGTGCTGCGAATGGTCGCATATTCACGTAAATTCAGTTATTTAGAAGATTGCTGGATGAATGTAACTATTCAGACGACAGGAAAGAAAAACTATATCACACGAAACTCTGGCTAGATTGACAGGCCTGTTCTGGTCACGTGTACAGAAACTTTTGCCGCAGGTGTGTTTTGAATATCTCCCATAAAGCATGGTAATAAATTGCCGTTTAACTGCTTGGTTTAACTTCTTGAGCTGACTGTTGGCTCGTATCCCTGAAAATGAGCAGGCGCAAATAAGTGGGGCGTTCGGAACATCAAGGTCGCGCCTAACATCCAATCAAGTGCGCAGAATGGTTAGTGCGAATGGTTTAGCCAACCAAGATTAGGAATTGTACTCATTTGTACTCGCGTTTGAACTCAAACGGTGAGGAACATGCGCCAGCTTATAGGGTAAACTCCATTTCCTTTTCACCCGCATCGCGATCCGGCTTTGACGAAATACTGAATCCTGCCAGCACGAAGTTCTGTGCGAAACTCTTCTCAAAATACTCAACTTTGGCTTTAACGACTGCAAGACAATCTTAGACCGAATTGAGCACAGATGCAAAGAGAAGGGGTGACTATTTATGGAGAACGTCTCCCCAACACCATCGAGCGAAACTATTTGACGAAGCTTAGTCCAACAAATGCGCTTTGTAATAATTACGCTATCACATTTGGATGAATCTCTGTGTGACGTATCTTGCTGTGGTTGCAATGTAGCCTCTGTTGATGATTATGTATGTGTTGTGTGTTTGTGTTTTTTAGATGCTGTCTTTTGAGGGCTTACTGTAAACAGTAAAGGTATTCAAACAACGTTTTGTGTTGGAATATGATGCCGTAACGCTGCTCGGTTGAGTTAGGAATTCACAG